AAAATAAAATTTCAATCTATACATAAAAAAAGTTCAAAAATAGCTTACAAAAAATAAATTACTTCAAAATCAACATTAAAATGTAGTATAACGAAGAAATAATAGAAAAATTACAGTGCTTAGGCTTAAATAGTTAATCGATCTATATTATATATATTATACATATAAATATATAATGACTAAAATATCTTCAACTTAAAACATTCAACAATAGATTATACATTAGCCGCAATTTTTTAATTAAATCAATCGTTTTGAAAAAACGTGTACTGATATAAAAACTTTTGCGATGAAGTTGTTTGATTTCAATAATCTTATATTATATTTTTTATTGAAAACAGTATAAAAAATACCAGAGTACATGATAATTAATGCTGAAGTTTATAATTTCCGAATGAAATTTTATTTATATTTTATGACAATAATGATTAATAAAAATTATATTCAATCTAATGTTAATTTCAATACAAAAAAATGTGTCCTCATTATAATAATTAAAGTAATGATCAAAATCAACTTTATTATTAAACTAATAAATAGCTATTTCTGTTTTCAAGTAAAAAAATATAATTATGAATCACTAAATCTTAATATATTATTCTTGTTATAACACTGGACATAATCTATCATTACCAGGTAACGCTAATTATATATAACTGTAATATTTTTACTACGCAAATAAGCATTGTAATATCTATAATACGAGATTACATTAAAATTTAGAACACAAAAAATACAAAAATTCGAGATTAAAAACTATCTTCAATGCTATTTTCTTTATTTGGTGGCTGAATGAATTTCAGTACACTAAAAAAAGTTTACAACTGACTTGTAAAAAATAAGACACATCAAACCTGAGTGTTATTTATTATTTTATTCGTGTAGTTTTTTATTAGTACCGTCACTATACCGTCTACACCGTTTGAAAAAATCATAATAACGAAATCTTGCTGTCATCCGTTCGAAACGATGGAAAATATTTATTTTTGTTGTTATTACATAAGTTCAGGCAATCAACACAAGACAATAACGCACGTCGTTATAATTAACAGCACGTATCTACTATCTTCTCGGGATTTCTATTTTTTTCACTCTTAGTCATTATTCGTTTTCATGATTTCACGACCAAATTGCATGGTTTACTTGACCACCTATTTCTACCTAATATGCGCATAGATAATATTAGAAAAATTTTGCACGAAAATATTTAACGAATGGATTAATAAATTATTGTTTTTATGATAAAAGTACAATTATGTTATACGCTGTATACAGTAATTTTTAATAACAACACTATTAAATAACTTAAGGCCATATTACGTATGAACACCACATACGTTCTTGCATAAACATGTCTATCATGATATAACTATTGTATGCATATCATGTTAATATTTTCTATTATCAATCAAAAACAAAAATTTAATCAAATTATAGCAAAAGTGGAGTCTTCATTTTTTGAACTTAAACAATTGTAATTTTCCTCGAGTGAAAATTTTCGTGACACAGTTGATGCATCTGGTCGCGATGGGGTCGTGTTTTCATAAATATTAGAATGCCAAACATATTATTGACAAATGTATCATGTCGATGTTGTACAACAAGTTTTCAGCAATTAAATACAATATTGATTTATAATTACCATAAACGTTTACTTACCATTTTCATGTTAAATTGTATCGCTAATGGAAATAATATTTTTTTTTTAATGGGTATTTTTAATTTAATAATAGGAATATATCTTTCTTTAGATTTCTATTTTTTAAATCGTGCATTTACTGAAAATTACTTTTCTAGACTAAATTCGGTTTAAATGATGCAATTTATATCAAAACGGGTCCTATATGAATTGCGTAAACATGTGTTATCATCTACATTTGTAGATTGTAATAAATTGCAGTAATTCATTATTTTCTCACAGATTATTTTAACAAACAAAGGAATATCGTAACAAAACGTTATTTTAGTTTTAAAAATAAATGCAAACTCTATGATAATGTTTCCGTTATTTAGGTTCACATTATATCACTCCAGTATAAAAAATAATTATTAGACTCTTTACTTCATATATACACACCGGTTGTATTTAACAACTTACTAACAATAATAAAATAATACTATAACAGATTGAAATCGTTTAATATTGAAAATATAATATTATTTCTCGTTACATGAAACAGATGCATCGAACCTTTAGTTTTATTATGATGATTGTCATAAAATAAATATGTATATATATATATATATATATATATAAGTATGATATCTTCATTTTACAAATAATCTATTTGTGAAAATCTGTTGACTCCAGAGAAGTTAAGTCTAAGTTTTGATTTTATAAAGACATAATATATGATAGTACAAATTATAAAGTTAAATCAAACACAATTTTCGTATTCGTGAAATTATTTTAATTTGCAATTGTATGAATAAAAAAATAAAAAATAAATAGTCAGAAAAATAACTAAAAATTAAAATAAATAAAATAACTCACAGAAAAAGTAAAACTAAAGATAACCGAGAAGTTTGAGATTAGAAACATAATTTTAGTATGAAATCACATTATCTAATAAAATAGCTAAATGGTTCACTTAATGCATCATTCGATTTAAAATTACAAAGAATATAATTTTAAAGACGTCTAATTTTCTAAGACACACCTAGTTGACATTAATTTACATATTTATTTTTATTTCGCATAAATTAGAGAATTCACCACCAGAATCTTTAACAAATACAATAAGTAATTTAACATAAAATCCAAGGTAAGCAAAGGTAATTGTATAGGATATTAAGAATTCAAGAAGTGGTATTTTAAAAAACTTTTAGTTCTTATAGCATAGAAATTATTTTTTTACATCGGTGTCAAAGGCCAGATGATTATGATAATAGTAAGAATAATAATACTAATAATATTTTTAATATTAAATTACTGTGCAAAAGTGAAATACCTAATATAATGGTTATGTATTATTATAATGATCAGAATTTTAACAGTCCCAAACAACGTTTTTCGCACATTTTGTTTTATGACAACCGACTTATTATTAATTTTTTTTTTTTTTTTTTGGTTGAAAAAATTCAATTTTTTTAAATATTTTTGTGGTTAACACGTGTTATAAGTATAGGCTAAATATAAATAAAAAACAAATGCCTAAAATTGCAAGACACGATTATATATATATAAACTAAAAAATATAATATTGTAAATATAATCTTACATTTTATAAATTTGCGAGCGTTTGGGTGACTACTTAATGTTGACGCACTAATGGTGCGTCACACTCAATACATTTCAGTATATTGTTATATGTTTCATGATAATATCTAATAGCAAATGGTAATAATATAATATTACGTTAAATAATATGAACCTGCTCGAAATTCTCGAGTACCATTACGACATCGGTATTTACTGCAGAAATCAACAGCATGTAACTCGATGACACCACGGTTGTGTACTAAACCGTGTGTACAATATAATATTATGATTTAATTTTGGGTCTAATAAACAATAATTAGATCTCGGTTAATTAGATCAAATGCATGCGGCAGTTCTTATTAATATTCATTGTTATTAAGTATACGATAATACGTTATATTACTTAACTAATTTCTATTACT